AAGTAGGAGGAGTGGAAGAGAGAGAAGCAGGCTCCCTGCTGAGCAGGGAGCCCATGCAGGGCTTGATCCCACAAATGAGCCACCCAGGGCCCTAAAGTCCAAGTTCTTAACCATTACACAACACTTTTATATAATGCTTGAGACATAGAAGGTACTCAGTAAGTGTTCTTAGTTGAATGCATGAATGAATGAGTGGAGGAAACTGGCAAACTCATTCATCACTTCTATTAATACAGATAATAATATGATGGCCTAAGTAAGACTACGAGCTTTAAACAGAACTGTCATTCAGTGAAAATATTGACTGTGACTTCTCCCTGTATGGAAATGTGTGAAATCCACACCTGTGTCAATTTAATACATCTATTGTGGGCAATCATTAATGACTACAAAGAAGCAGAAAGGCAGTCTGAATAAACAGATAATTAAAATGGAAATAATTAAAAATGGAAATATTTTAAATGACTCTGAAATAATTTCTTAATCTTTTTCTGTTTTCACACACTGGCGAGTTTCTTGACAGTAACATAAGTTTACGATTTCTACTGCATTTATCTTCAGACACATCAGCATAAATGCCCACAAAAGAGCTCGCATCTATCAGCAAAGCTCCCCCACCCCACTGGTGTCCTGGCTCGTTTCTTGGCTTTTCTGCCAGCTTACACCCCTTAATCTTACTTAGACAATGCATTCATCTTCCTGCTCAAATGGTCAAGTGTTTTCAAACACTCCTTTTTTCCTGTCAAATATAAATTCTTTGTGCCCTCCCCCAAATTGTCTATGCTCAGGTTAGCAGACCCCTCTCTGACTCACATGTTCCCAGGGTTGTCCTTCAGCCTAGAAGGTCCCATACTTCTGCCACTCAGATCTTTACTACGTCTAGTTCAAGTTCTGCTTCCTCCCAAAACTCCTCTGACCACTTTTGGTTTTCTGAAAATCAAGGCAGCTCAGATCTTAACCTGTCTCGAATACTCAAATGCTAGATAACCCATGGTTCATTCCTGTCCTTGTTTCTGCTCAAATATCACTTTTACCTGTTCAGCCTTCCTTGACCACCCTATTTAAAATGACAATACCCAGGGAACCTGGGTGTCTCAGTCGGTTAAGCATCTGGCTTTTGATTTCAGCTCAGGTCTTGATCCTGGGGTCGTGAGTTCAAGCCCTGCACTGGGCTTCACACTGGCTGTAGAGCCTACTTAAAAAACAATAAATAAATAAAAGTAAATACATAAAATGACAGCACCCCTTCACCTAGGCACTCCCAAACCTCTTTGCCTAATTTATTTTTATTTTTCTTCCCAGCATTCATCACTGTCTTGTATTGTCTGTATTTACTTGTTTGTTTGCTTATTGTCAGTGTCTCCCTGCCCAGAATGTAAGGCCCATGAGAGCAGGGAATTTGTATGTTTTGTTACTGGTTTATCTCCAGAAAAAAAAAAAAAAAATGTTTCCTGGCACATAGTAGATGCTCAGTAAATCCTGGCTGAATGACTGAGTATTCCTCTTTTTATAATTCAAAGGTCACAACATGTTCTATAGTATATCACTTAGCATATAAGTATAGTTAATTTAGAAGTATAAATCTTAGTCTCTTTCAGTGTATTTCCAAGACAAATATAAATAATTTCTGGTATCCTTCTATATTTTCATCCCCTTCATTGATGTCTTTTTTCATTAAACGTTCGCTAAATATCTTGAGTTCCTATTATATGTCATTATATGCCAGTTCCCATTCTTTTAGCAAAAAACTTAAGGAACTCACAGTTATACATAAATATACAAATATACCAAGAGGCAAGAAACTAGACTGAAAGACAGAATAGTAAAAGGAAGACTAGTAAAACTAAGAATCCAATATTACTATGTGGGGACAGAGGGTACAGGGTGAGTGTGACAGACTGAGTGGGAAGCAAAAGGGAAAAAGAGACAGAATGGTAAGAGCCTAGAGTGGGATGTTGCCAAAGTAATCACCAGATGCTAGTGCTTAATATACACTGTACTTAAGCAGATATGCAAATACATTCTACATGAATTTTTTGAAATTCACATCTCAAAAGTTATCTGCTGGTTATCCTAAAGGTAAAAATTAGATTAAGACTAGCGACATCTGGTGGATATTTTGGAAGTGTCTCTTAATTTTCTTTACTATGTAAACACTACACAAGTCCTCACACCTCTGGATTGCCATTCACGTTAGGGCTCCTAACTAGCTGGTTACTAACCACACTATCATGAAATAATCTTTCTGCAGGACCTAAGGTCTCATTGCAAGAGGCAGCCTGATTTCTACTAAGAACCCTTTTATCTCTCAGCTGATGACCCTCTGCCTTCTGGAAGATGTATATGTAATTTGACACCAGGATTCTTCTTTTAAAAGGTAATTTATTACTTAAAATATTCACGTCCTTTGACCTATGGATTCCACTTCTGGAAACCAACCCTAAGAAAAAAGTCTTAAATGAGGAAATCAATTTGTTACTTACAATGGGGGAGGGGAACCTAAAAGTCCAATAAACAGAAAAATTGTCAAGAAAAATATGCTTACCAGACATTTGTAACCATAATAAAACATTTTTGAAAGATTTATTTATTATTTATTTGAGAGAGAGAGTGAGCATAAGGAGGGAGAGGGATAGAAGCAGACTCCCCACTGAGTGTGGAGCCTAATGTAGGGCTAGAGCTCATGACCCTGAGATCATGACCTGAGCCAAAACCAAGAGTAGGATGTTTAACAGACTGAGCCACCCTGACACCCCTTGACTCTTGCTTTTTTTAAAACTAAGTTTGTTAATATGAAATTGTTAAAATATTTGTTTTAGGGGCACCTGGGTGGCTCAGTCGGGTTAAGCATAGGGCTCCCTGCTTTTCCCTCTCCCTTGGCCCCTCCCTGCTGCTCAAGCTCTCTCCCTCTCTTTGTCTCTCTCTCTCAAATAAACAAAATCTTTAAAAATAAATAAATAAATAAAATCATGGTTTGCAATATTTCCCAAATGCTCTATAATTAGCATGCATTATTTCTATAAGACATTATTTAAATCTTTCAAACTGCATACATTCTGATTAATTGCCATAATTTTTCAACTTCTCCCTGATTTTATTGATAATGAATCAAGGGAGCTAGAATTTCTACAAGAAGGGGAAGCAAGAAAAGAAAGCAAATATATGACAATTTTGTTCCAGGATCTGAGTCTTGATGGAGAAATCTCCCAGTTGTGGAACTGTACCAAAATTCCATTAATGTCATCACACTCCTTTCAACAGTACACCAGAAACTTACAGAGGGCTCTGCTGGCATCAGGGAGTTACAGAGTCTCCTAACCACTTGAGTCCCCATCTTCAGAGTCCCTAGAAAAGCCGGATCAGGGCCACCTTAAAATAGGAAGAGGGACAATGTACAGAAATACTGGACAGGAAAAAAAATTCCAAAGCTAAACCAATCTACTAGTGTCAGGCCCCTGTCCCGAATCTATCAATTTATGTCATCTACAAGTTTCAGAAATGGGACCCTGGTCAGAAGGAAATCCAGCCAAAGATATTATAATCACAACAGGGCTATCCCAGGAGTATTTTAAAAACAAGCCACTTAGACGTAACAGTAATAAAGACCAATGCTTCCCTATCAGTCAAGCAAGAATGCATTTTCCTTCCTCCCTAAGACAATCAGTCAATGACCACAGTAAGAATTCTGAAGACAAGACAAATAAATACTGGGAGCTCTGCTTATAGCATGCACTTCCATTCATCCTCAGGAATTCCATTTTAACCTAGAAGGGCTGTATTGATATTTTAAAGCAGAAATTTTTACGTAGCACTTTAAGTGTACAAAGTGTTATCACCTACATCATTGAATTTGACCATCATAGTAAACAACCGTTGGAAATAAAGTTGACGGTATTCCGTCCCAGCTAATAGTAAACAGGCTAGGGAGTTACTTCGCCAGTTAGTAGCGGAAGTTTTCTAGCCACTTCTTCCAAGTCGACTTGGACTAGGTCTGTGCCAGACAACAGGCCGGGAAAATGATGATAATGATGATAACGGCAGCTTATATTCGACTACACACTATGTACAGTTCCAAGTGTTTTAAATACTCACAAACGTTCTATGAAGTCGATACTATGATTACCAACTGTTTTGTGCTGTGATTCCATTTTCACAAAGTACTGTGTTCGTCTTAAGGAATCGCCCCTCTAAGGGATAAATCAAGGTGCATCGGTATTTGGGGAGGCTGGCATACAGACTGAAAGGGCACGTCTCCAAGCTCTGAAAGTCTGAATCAGGAACTGCACCCTAAGAACCTGTAAGGCTCAGAACCTGAAACTTCCGCCTCCTTCTTTCCAGCGACACCCCCACCCCCACCCCTCCGTGTGTCCCCCTTTTTGATCTGGACGCTCAGTGGTAAGTATATTTTCCAGACACGTCCCCTCTGCCCTCCCCCACAACACACACATTTCAGCACCTACCTCTTAAATCCTCGGTGCATCTGGTTGAGCATCTCTGTCCCCCGCCCTTCTGAGCTCGGCCTCCTCCCGATACAGCGTCGCCGCTGCGTTCCCGATGCCATGGTGACGCGAGGCGGCCCCCGCCCGGCCCCGCCCACCTCCCCGCCCGGCCCCGCCCACCTCCCCGCCCGGCCCCGCCCACCTCCCCGCCGGCGCGAGCCAGCTCGGGACAACCTAGGCCCCGCCCCCTGCCCGGCTGGCTCCGCCTCCTAAAGGCCCAGACCGCCTCCCCAGCCGGCCTTGACCCTGCTTCCTGCCTCCTTGACCCGCCTCCTGCGGGCCGACTCGGCCCCCCAAATGCCAGGACTGGCCCAGGGAGCTCCGCCTCCTGCAGATGCGAACCCGCCTCCTGGGCGTCCAAACCACAACCCCACTCCGCCCCAGCCAAAGCCTGCGGGGTCCGGCGCGAAGTGTCTGGATCTACTGGTTGCCCTCAGGCTGAGCGAGACCTGCTTCTCTGACGTAGAGCCGGCAGACCCCCACCCCGGAAAACGCACCAGGCACGTTCCTTCTGCGATTTATTGATCCTAGCGGCTCCGCACCTGCGAGAGCCCACAGTCCAGCCAAGGGGAGTTTCCCGGCGGTGCAGTGCTGTCAGGGACTTGAAGTACTGGTAACCCATGGTCAGCCTCAGCCCCTGGCCTCGTTTGTCTGTCTGGCTTCTGGCACCCTTGACCCCAACCACCGAAGGAACTGCCCAAGCCAGCTCTGGGGGCTGTGCACAAGAATCGGAATGCTTTCCCGGAGCACCTCTCCTTCTTCAGCTTGGGCCTTTAAGGTGTGTAGAAGAGACGCCCCTAAGTTAATCCCAACAAAACCAGCTCAAGTGCTGGGGCAACCTGTCCTAATCAGCACTTTTCTTGAAAGCAGGAACCAAGGTAGGGGCCAACAGACTTCCGGCAGCTCATCCTAGCCCCGGTCATTTTGTGGAACTCCATCCACCCCTGGCTAGCCCCAATACAACTCCAAGCTAATGGTGGCAAAGAAGACAATAGGCCTAGGGAAGGGGGGGCAAGACTGGGGGCACTCGCAAGGGCTCTGGTTCTTGAAAACGCCGCAGCCATCGCTGGGCTGCCAGCCCCTTCCCCAGGGCAGATTCTCCCCAGGGGTGAAGGGATGGAAACAGGTCCGACCTCCCCAGCGCTCACACTAGGGTCCCGTTCTTGCTGTCATAGCGCGGTGTGGCCTGGGGGAAGCGGAGGGTGGCGTACTGAGTAGCATTTTCTGACTGCAGGTGTTTGACCTCCTGAGCAGAGCGCGGCTGGGTAGAGCTGCACACTTGAATGTCTGCGTAATGCAAGCTGCTCTCCTTCAACTTGAGGCCTTGACTCCGCTCCTGAGTCGCCGGCTTCTCTAACACCTGTTCGTAAATAGGTCCTCTTGTGTCATGGGCCTGCAAGAGACGGACAGCATTAAGGGACATTCTTGGCTTGCTTTTGCCCCTCACCCACAAAGCAGGGCCGGTGATTCTGATGTCCCTTCGCTTGGCTCCTTGGAGGGGCAGACCAACAAGTTCTGGTTCAAGATAACTGAATGTGTGGCAGGGTGTAAAAGCTGAGTCCTCAGATCCCCCATCGGAGCAACACCCTGGAAGGGGCAGAAGCCGGTCATTACCTTTACACCATTCTGCCGCTGCTGCTGCTGCTGCTGCTGCTGCTGCTGCTGCTTCGGGGCCCGTCTTGCTTGGCTTCCTGAGAGCAAGAAACCCACCTTAAATTCATTCTCTCTTCCTTGTCTCTACTGAGATTGCCCTCTTCGAATCTTAAACTATTATGGTGGGCTTCTAACTAATCTCCTGCCTCGGCTCGCACCTCTTTCACTGCTGCCCTTCCCACATCCAGACTCCTGTCATGCTCTGCCCATAAGATCGTCCATCCTCATTTTTCACCGGCGCCTAACACAGTGCAGCAGGTACATGTTGAGGGCCCATTATATGCCAAGCTGTGTGGCACGTTCTGGGGCTAGAAGGAGGAGCAAGCTATTTCCTCTGCCTCAGGGAGCTTACAGTCTACTATACAGACTGTTACTACAGTGCTCAGCCACACCAAACAGTCGCTCAGTCAACTCAGCCCCTTGTTTCCTCTTTCTCTTTCTTCCTTTCTTCCTCCTTCTTTTCTCTTCTCTCCTTCTTTCCTTCCTTCCTTTTTCTTTCTTTCTTTCTTTCTCTTTCTGTTCTTTCTTCTACATGAGGTAATGCCACTACCCACCTTTTTCTTCTCTGCTCCTCTTCCAGCTTGAGGACTTGCTACTGTTCCCTCGACATTGGTGTTTTCTCCCATTCTCCTACCGTACGAGTGTGAATCTTACAGCACTAGTAGATTGCATCGCATTTACTTGTTTATGTGTAAATAAGTCTCTTAAACTTGATTTTGAGCTCTTCGAGGACTGAGACCGTGTGTCCTTGTGCCTCTCTGCCTCCTTGGGACCCAGCAGAGTGCCCCACATACACTGTAAGTGCTCAGTTAATCTTTGCTGGGTGACTGAAAGAACGCACAACCAACCTTGCCACTCTAAGATAATGGAAAGGATGAGACCCAGAGTTTCAGAGCTGGTCTGGAAACCCTGAAGATTTTCTCTGGTGTACTATCTCCCTTTACCCCTTCCAAGGCTACTTCTCTTTTTCATTCTTATGCCCTTTTCAAAGACACCGGTTCTAGCATCTTCTCTTCTCTAATCCAACCACTCCGAGCCCCCATCCCCAACACCCAGTTACCCGTTTTCTTTTTCCTCTGGGAAGTTGATGGGCAGCTCCTGTGAAAAGAAACACAGATCACCCATGTGTAAGAGTCCTGGCCTCAATCTTCTCACCTTCATCATTTGTTCTGTGGTCTCCTTAACATTCTAGGATGACCCTCTCACTTCCCTCAAAGATTCACCCTAAGTCAGCCTGAAAGCATTTATCAAGGGTACCACATCTCTCCCACAAGGATGGTTCTGGAAGGTGGAGTGGTACAACTGACATAACCAAACCCAAAATACAGCCTCAGGCAACCAGGCACAGCATGCCAGGGATATAGCTGGGTTGAGGGCTATTCTGGGATTGTCTAACAGGCTAATCCCAGCAGAGGGTGAGGGAAACCCGCCAAATAATGGGATATTCCTGGATTCAGAGACCCTCTTGCTGCTGCTTCAGTGCTTTTTTTTTTTTTTTTTTCGGGGTCTCTGCCAACATGGGGTTCTCACTCTGGGAGTCACAGAAGCTGCCACAACGAGGGCTAACAAGTTAGGACCCCTCAAAGCCCTTTTCTAGCAGGTGATCTCCCTCCCTGCTTCCCTGTCCTTGTTTTTAATTAACAGAGAAAGTGAGAGATATTTAACCTTTAACACACACAGCACAGGGAGCTCTGAATTTGGTGAGTGACTCAGCTACCTTGTCCTCGCTGCAGGACAGACCTCATTTCTGAGCTGTAGGACAGACTCATTTCGGAACCTCTGGGGTCCCCGGTGGAGCCAGTGTGTCTACGTGATTGTCAACTGCGTGATGGCCAGAGAAAAACACTTGTCTGAGGAAATAGGCTGAATAGTTTGGGGCTTACTCTGGATGCTTTTTCTTGCTAGTACATTTCCAAACTCTCACCGGAGCCAACCCTGTCTGGGTGACTTCTGTCTCCATAAGGAAATTTCCTCCTTTTGCTAACTGAAAAGAAAGAGAGAGAGAGAGAGAGAGAAGGAAACTTCTAGATCGTGTCTATTTTACTACTATGGAAAAATCATGATTTTCCCACGTGTATTTGACAAAGGCTTGTGTTTTGGTTTGATTTTTGGTTTTAATGCAGCTTGCTGAGTTGAGAGCAGATAGAATCACCATCTGAAGTTTAGAGGTGGTTCAGAAGAAAAGCTGTGAAAGCACTTCTAGGTCTTTCTACTCCTTCTACTTCCGCATTTCCTTTTCTCTCTTTCTTTCTTTCTTTCTTTCTTTCTTTCTTTCTTTCTCCCTCCTTCCTTCCCTCCCTCTTTCTTCCTTCTTTCCTTCTTTTTTTTCTCTTTCTTTCTCTCTCTCTTCCTTCCTTTCTTTCTTTTTTCTTTACCTCACTCAAGTCACAGCCTTATCCTAGCTTCTAATTTCTCGTCCCTTGTCGCCACTGTTCTCCTACTTACTTCTACTTAAATGGATGAAGAGAACATAAACTCTAACGCAACAGATTTGGGCGGCCCTATGTTAGTGAATGGAGCCTGATCCCAAGTCAGATGCTATACAATGCCTGGACACAACCTAAATGGAGTATTCTGATAGACTCATAGTCGATAGGATATGATTTTTAGCTCAGAATTCAGAAAACAAGACGGGCACTTTCCTATATTGATAGTATGAATAAAAATTGGCTCAATTTTCCCGGAATGCAATTGACAAGAAGTATAAGAAAGCTTAAACATAGAGTGTGTACCCTCTGATGTAGCAATTCCATATCGTAAGAAATAAGCAGGCACAAATATGGATGCTCGTTGCAGGATTATTTACAATTGTAAAGAATAGGAAACATCCTTTACGTCCAGTATCGGGAACTGACTAATAAAGGACATCTCCACTAAAGGGACCATTGTACATCCATTTAAGAAACATGTTGGAAGAACATCTAATAGCATGGAAAATCTTACTCTTTAAGTTAATAAAAGGATAATAAGGCATGTTTTGGGATAAAAGCTATGCACCTAGGTATTTCAAACGGATTACACGAGGTGACCTTTCCGAGTCATTGGCTGTGTAGGGTAGGGTGGCCTGAGCCGGGGGTTCTGTGCTGAGATGCTTCAAAGCCTTGATGAAAATGTTTGGATTCCCATGAAGGCCCACTCTGCCTCAGTTTATCAGGAACGGGGGTGAGGGGCTTCACCGTGTATAAAATCAGGATTGCTGATAAAAGATAAAGCTTTGAAAGCTTGGAGTCCTGCACCTGCGCATGGTCATCCCTGATCAGCTTTACTGGGAGTCCACATCAGATGGAACGAGAGTCTGGCTGTGACTCTCAGCCAGCTCTGTTACGGGGGGAACACAGAGCATTGCTGTACACTCTGTACACTCGTAGACGTGTTGTTTCTTTTGTGGCCTGGATAAATGTAACTATGAGGTACACCAAAAAAAAAAAAAAGGGGGATTACATGGAAATAGACTAAAATGTTCTCATCATTTATGGTTGCTATAAACATATTTAGAATTTATTTTTATTTTTTTTAAAGATTTTATTTATTTATTTGACAGAGATCACAAGTAGGCAGAGAGGCAGGCAGAGAGAGAGGGGGAAGCAAGCTCCCTGCTGAGCAGAGAGCCCAATGCGGGGCTCAATCCCAGGACCCTGAGATCATGACTTGAGCCGAAACCAAGAGTCGAACACTAAACTAACTGAGCCACCCAGGCACCCCTTGTCCTACTATTTTTATTTTAAGAGGGAAAAAAAAGTGTTTTGGTTGGAATATTGGGGGTAGTGTTGCTAGCCAG